CTCATTCAGTTAGGTACTTGATATCTTGCCGCAGCGATCCAGGTTCGATTCCCGCTGCTAGCGCACTTTTTATTTTCTTTTCTCTTTTTACCTAGACAGCATTTTACCTTCATGTCTTAGATATAAGAGACCTCTCATAATTGTTACATAACCTCTCTTCTAATCGCTCTTTTAAGAATGTACTCATTATGCTTTAATTCTACGCGCTATCCTGCCTTATTAGTTCTACTTTAAATAACGATGAAATGTACGTAAACAACTTTAAAATAACATGTATCAATTTTAAACTTTAGTTTTGTGCTTTTATAACTTGACATCTGTCCTAAAACTTTGTAATAATCTTGAGCTAACTCTGACTCTAATACAATCCTTGCTTTTATCTTCACTGAGGCTCCCACTGCTGCATTTGTTCCACTAAAGTAACCAGTTTTCGTAGCCCATTCATGAATTATAAACACCCTCTGCTTGTGAAATATGCGTAAACAATTTTTTAATTTTTAAATATAAAATACTTTGCTTGAAGTTTTATGCTTTTTTTACTGGACATCTGTCCGACATCTTTGTAATTTCTATTTTTAATGCTGACTCTAATATAATCTTTTCTCTTTCTTCCCTGAGGCTCCTACGGCCTATTGTGTTCCACAAAGTAACTGGTTTTCGAGTCCAGTTATGAATTATAAACAAACAAACTGACCCTAACCCTAACCCTAACCCCTAACCCTAACCCTAACCCTGACCCCTAACCCTAACCCTAACCCTAACCCTAACCCTCACCCTCACCCTAACCCTAACCCTAACCCTAACCCTAACCCTAACCCTAACCCTGACCCTGACCCTAACCCTAACCCTAACCCTAACCCTGAACCCTAAACCCTAACCCTAACCCTAACCCTGACCCTAACCCCTAACCCTAACCCTAACCCTAACCCTAAACCCGATCCTTAAGAAATTAAACTTTGGACTATAAACATAAACATGAAACTAAATTTTAAAATAAACTTATAGTAATAAATATTTAATCCTGGCTATTGGTAATATAATACTTAAACTACTCATGCTGGTTGCTAGGCAAGCGCCATGCTAATACTTATAAACAAATGTAACCTTAAACTATAATCATAAACTTGAAACTAAAATAGATTAAAATATAGAATTTCAGAATAAACTTATAAAACAAATACCTAATTCTGGCTATAAGTGTTATAAACTTAAACTACTCATGCTTGTTTCTAGGCAAGCGCCATGCTAATACTTATAAACAAATTGAACCTTAAACTATAAACTTAAACTGGAAACTAAAATAGATTAAAATATAGAATTTTAGAATAAACTTATAAAACAAATACCTAATTCTGGCTATAAGTGATATAAACTCAAACTACTCATGTTGGTGGCTAGGCATGCGCCATCCTGTAAATCCTAATGAAATTTAACCTTGAACTGTAAACATAAACTTGAAACTAAAATAGTTAAATATATAAACTTTTTTACATAGGTAAATATATAGGTTTTTAAAAAAGAACTTATAAATTAAATACCTACTTCTGGCTAAAGTGATCTAAACTGATTGTGTTGGTTGCTAAGCGAGCGCCATTCTATAATTCATAAACAAATTTAACTTGAAACTATAAACTTAAAACAAATTCTTACTTCGCGTTTACAATTCATTGGGAAGTAGACGTATGGACACTCTATTGCGCCATTTAGTCGTTGTGGGTGCACTCCACGGCGAGTGTTGGGTGTTAGGCGTGCGCCCCTCTAAAAATGATCTGGATAAAACTAATTTTAAACTTTTAATATAGACTTATAGAATAAATATTAAATCCCAACTATACTATAGTATAAATGCTATGTTTTACTATATAATAAATATAAATAAACTTTAAGTTCGCGTTAACAAAGCGCTTATTAGTAGATGTATGGACACTCCACTGCGCCATTTAGTCGTTGTATTCGCGCTCCACGGCTAGTGTTTGGTGTTAGACGTGCGCCCCTCTAAAAACTATCCTGAACAAAATGATTTTTAACTATAAACATGACTTGACTCTGAAGTGTACTAGCGAATAAAATAAACTTTGAACATAAACTTATAAAATAAACATTATACTTAAACGACGTTCTTTTGAAAATTAATAACAATATTAATAATAACATTTGAATTAGTTCTACTGCCCTCTTCTTCTCCTTTTTCTTAAATTAGTAAAGTTCAACATCTGGACAGCTGTCCAACTTTGCGTAAATACTATACTAACACTTGAACTAATTTGAGAAAACCTTTTATAATCTCTTCACTCAAGACTACCAGCCTATTGCTCATGAGCGATACGAATAACTTGGTTCTGAGTATTAAAATTCCCTAACCCTTACTGTATCCCTAACCTACAAAAGCCAAAAAACTCAAAATTTGTCCAAGTGTAAAGTACAACTCCAACATTCTTTGTATCTCCTATAAGTGGTAATCAAGTTAATATTTTTTTACGATTGTTGTTTGAACATAAACTTAAAATAGTTTCTTTTAAATGGTAACATTACTATAGTAAGCAAATATTTATCTTTTGGTCGCAACTATAAAGATTGTTTAAATGATTTTATGGTAGTATAAAATAATTGAGAATCAAAGATTTCATTTATAAAGGTAAGTACTGTTTTAATTTTTATACTGCTATTAACTTCACGTAAATTTTTTTTAAATAATGAAATTAAATCAAATAAGTAGTAAGTTATAGAACTATTTTTTCTAACTTCATGCTATGTTTTCATTTTTATTTTTGATTTTTTACTTTACAGATTTAAATATCAATTTTATTGTTAAAATAGGTTTCGTGTTTTTTTTTATTTCATACATAAAAACAGCGTTGACTTTTTGTTAGAATAACTAACTATTAATTAACAAAAAGTGACTGTTTAACCAACACAAAATAAAAATCTTTTAAAACTAATAAAGTTTATTGAAGGTTGTTGTTTTAGTTTCTTCATTTGAAAACTTTAAAAAATTTATTCAATAAAAGTGGTTTAAAAAATAATAGTAATCTTAGGAAGTCTATTGTAAAATATTATATAAATGTTATAAAATGTATAGGCTTCTAGATTTTTTTATATACAAAAATTAAAAAACTGCTTTAATCAGTAGGATTTATGAGTTAGGGTTATTGTTACCTTGACGTTTATAGTTGAACATTTAGCTAGTCTTTTTATGGACTTGAATTCAGTTAATGAATTTATAAGCGATTGATGAAAGGGCGTGGAAACATCACATGTGAAGTTTCAAAGATCACGTGATCGCCAGACAACAGGCTATCAAGCAAACTATAAATTTTTTGCTTTAAAATTGTTTAAGCAAATATTTTTTTATTTGAAACTAAATTACCTTTATTCCTTTTAAAAAATTGGCTGCAGTTTAGTTTTTTCCATCAATCAATAAACCAATGTTTGTTTTACTAAACTAACAGTTTTATTAAAAATCTCGTGAGGTAAGTGCATAGTTCGTAGTTAGAGCTGTGGGTCCAATCTTATTGTCCGGAGTTAAAATATTGATCTAGTTGCAAAATCGTCATTGATGAAAACGTAAAAATTTTCAAGCTAGATTAGATACTATTATTTTTTATTTAAGTTAACATCAACTTTTTCATACAGTGATAAACTTTATTGTGCTTAATTTTTATATTTAACGAAGATTGTTAATATGATAATACATTTGAATGGAAGTGAATGTATGTATATATAAATATATATATATATATATATATATATATATATATATATATATATATATATATATATATATATATATATATATATATATATATATACATGCATAGTTAGATATATACCGATGCATATATAAAAACATATATATGTTTATATGAATATATATATATATATATATATATATATATATATATATATATACATGCATAGTTAGATATATACCGATGCATATATAAAAACATATATATGTTTATATGAATATATATATATATATATATATATATATATATATATATATCGTGGGTGTAAGAGTATTTTAGTGTAAAATAAGTCTCATTTAATATACAGTTTTGCTTCCTCAACGATCAAGCAACTATTTTTTGTCGTCAGAATGTTAAAACAATTAATTTAATGAGTTTCCGCATAAAATTTATGGTTTTTTAAAAATCCACAATAATAACAACTAGAATTTTTTTAATTAGGAGTGTTTTTGTTTTTTTTTAATTTATGTTTTGTTAGAATACAGTTTTTAAATATGCGCGGAGTGTTGCTACATTGACTATTTTATAGCCTGCTGCTACAAGGAAGTGTTGCTACATCGGCTATCTTATAGCCTGACTTGCTATGAAATGCTGCTACATCGACTATCTTATAGTCTGACTCGCCACGGAGAGCTGCAACGTCAACTGACAAATAGCCTGACTCGCTATGAAGTGCTGCTTCATCGACTGAGGGTTTGGTTTGGGCAAGCTATCTATTATTTAAGAAAAAAAAATTTATTTAAGTTTTCAAATTGTTTTTGGTCTGCTTTATTAGCGATCTCTGTAAAACTACCGTTTTTAGCAAAAACTTTCTGACGACCTTGCAAGAGTTTTATATATATATATATATATATATATATATATATATATATATATATATATATATATATATATATATATATATATATATATATTTATATATATACACCTATAGTTCGACATATAATTTTATCGTTTGTGGTCGAAAATTGCTTTAAAGTATTCTTTGACATCTAAGAAGACAAAACTAAGTAGAGTTTATTACAAAACCATCAATTGAAATTGAGGAAACTAATTAAAATTAACGTTTTTTTAAATAACCACAAAACGCAAATTAAAAGACAAGGATGTTTTTTAAAACATTCTGTCTAGCAAGCATTTCAACGTTGATTCAACATTAAAAAGACTTTGATTTACAGCGTTGATTATTTTTTTTATTTTTTGATGGATTTGTGCAAGAAAAGTTTTACTTAAATTTTTTGTTAATTAAAAAACTAAATTAATTTAAAATAATTAAACTTAATTGAAATAATTTAGTTTAATAGGATATAAATAAATTTACTTATTTTCAACAGGTAACAAATAAAAAGTAATATTTAAAAAAAAATTTGATAAAAAAATATAGAACAACCTCTTACCCAATTTTTTTACACTTAAAATCTAAATACTATCCTACCAATATAGCTTGGTAAATATTCAACCCTTCCATAGGTAATTTCACATTCCATAGGTATTTTACTTTCCCCTTCGAACCAACCAAATTGAACTTTGAATGAAGTCTGTTTGTCATCAGCATTAATATTAGAGAACTGGTATATAACGTTTACAAAACAAGATTTAACATGTCAAAAGAAAGTTTCAACATTTTAAAATGAAAAATTAGTGGAAATATTTGAAAAAACTAGTAAGTACTATTTATTAAAGAAATGTTTTCCTGTTTATCATATTTGTAACACTTTTCTTACTGTTGTTACCGCCAATGGAAGATAGATTTCTCACCTGATAAATAAAAATAACATACAAAATCTACCAAACAATGTCCTTCCAACGATGGTTGATGTGTTAAAGACGTTTTTTCACTATCAAAAAGCATTGAAACTAACAGTTCCAGCCAGTGCAAAAGCAACATCTAATGGTTTAACTCACATCTGGAAAAAGAATTCCAATAACTTACCAGCCTCATATTGTATCAAAAGTGAAAGCATGCGTTGACGAATATAATTCAATTAAAAAGAATAAAGGAAGAGCTAGTAAGTCACAGATTGCTAGAGATTTTAGTATCAAATTAGATTTACTGTTTGACATTTTACACAAAGATGCAAATAAGCTAATTAAAATTGATGAAGATAAAAAATTTCTGGATGACCAAAAGAATTCTCATATGATGAAGATGGCTGGAGAAGATGTAAAATTATCTCAACAAGAAAAGCGAACAGCAGAGTGATAGCGAAGCAACAGAAGTCAGTGACATTCCTGATGATAATGATGATTATGAAATAGAAATTCCAGTTTGTCACAAAAAACTAATAACCCAATCAACTGACTGCGAACAAAGTCCTAAAAATAAAAAGCCACATATTCTCAATGAAATTTTGTCTTCTCCAGATGTATCATCCACAACTTGATCAATTTAATACCATCTTCAACTTTTCCATGACGTGATTCAAAATACTTCCATCCATGACGTGAATCCATCATATATTTGTATATTGATTTATTGATAACTTCTCCTGTTTTAATGTTAGTTAATTTGATAGATACTGGATCTCTTTTATTTGTCCTTAATCTTTCATGTTTTGGATCTATATATTCTTTTCTTTCTTTAATTGTATGAAACCTAGGTTTTCCAACTGATTTTTTTTTACTTCTATTTTATCTTTTTTTACTCTTTTAACTCTTTCTTTATCAGATGTATTCTAGGTCTTCAAACTGGTTTTTTAGGTTGTACATAAGATACATCCGATAATCCTGACTCTTTAATAATGAGTTCATTATCCATCGCAATCATAACTATTGAAATAAGATTGTTAGATGTTTTTGAAATGTTTTTTTTTTTAAATAGATTTATTATTTATTTCTTTGAATATTTTGTACTCATTTTATTATATTAAGAAAAAAAATTTAAGTAATTTTTTATTTTTTAAAAAATAAATAAATTTAAATTATTGTATTTTTTCACGATTCTTTCTATTCTTCTGAATCACTTTCTTGTTGTCGTCTTCTGTATTCTATCTATTCTTCTTTTCGTCTCATTTGTTCTAGTCTCATTTGTTCTAGTATAATTTGTTCTTGTATTATATCTTCTTCGTTACACTTTGAATCATATCCAAAATCTACAGAATCACTTTCTTCATCTAGTTGTCTTCTTTCTTCATCTAGTTTTCTTCTTTCTTCATCTAGTTGTCTTCTTTCTTCATCTAGTCTTATTTGATCTTGTAATATTTCTTCTTGTCTTCTTTCTATTCTTCTTCTTTCTTCTTCTAGTGCTCTTATTCTCTGTTCTTCTCTTTTTATCCTAAATTCATCTATTAAAATCTCTATCCTATTTTTTCCATCTATGCTCATCTCTACTTCATCTTCTTCTAAATAATTTACTATATCTTCTTCTACTACTAGTCTTCTTTCCTCATCTTCTCTTATAATACTTTGTCCTTCACTTATTATCCTTTTGTCTTCTATTAAAATCTCTTCAAGCCTATCTTTTTCTTCTAGCCTCTCCTTTTCTAAATAATATAATAAATCATCTTCTGTTTCTATTCTTCTTCTTTCTTCTTCAAGCCTTATTATCATCTTTTCTTCTTCTAGTCTTATTATCATCTCTTCTTCTTCATCTGAATCCAAATATTGATTCTTCAAACAACAATTTTAGATATAGTTCAAACAATGGAATTACTTGGAAAGATATAACTATTCCCGAAGGATGCAATGGTATTTTTGAAATAAATAATTATATACAGGAGATTATGCTTAATAATGGTGAAACTAATTTATGATATGCCATTTTATTATATAAAGAAATTTATTTAACTTATTTCTAAAAAGTTTATTTTCTTGTACCTTTTTCTATTTTTTTCTTGTCTTTTAATTTTTTAACGAAATCTAGATCTAAAGATTTTAGATCTAAATATTTAATCATGTTAATCTGTATCTAAATATTCAATATACCATGTTCATTCTTTTTCCGTTTGCTTGAAATTGAAGCATTTCATCAGATATTACGACAGCATTTACTTGAGTACCTACAGGAACAACTTGATTAAATGTTGCTCTAATTTGCACATCTAATAATGTTGTTTTTAATTGTCAGAAAATTGTTGATTTGGGAATAATAAATTATAAGGAACAGCAGGATATATTTCTTCAGCACCATTAGTGATTTGCATATTTTTCAAGTCACAATGATCGAATATTGTAGGATTAGCAGTTTGATCTACACCCTTATTCATTTGAAATCCAACAATTATATATCGTGTTTTTTCAGTAGATGTCTTTACACCTAATCTCCAAGTAGTGTATGCTTAAAAGATAAATAACTTTATTGAAATCATCACAGTATCCAAAAATGTGTCGTAGAGAAACACAAAATGAAAATATCCCTTTTGAACTTGGTTTCTGAATTAAGTATGATTGTCTTATTGCAAATCCTTGGTTTTCAGCTATTACTGCTGTTGTTGCGATATCTTTATAACTTTATTAATTTAATCCTTGTGCTAATTGAAAGTCATTGGGATATTTAAGCATTGCTAATATTGTAGTTGCTTGACCTAGATGATAAACTGTTTCCACATTTAGTTCTGACAATTGATATGTTAATTGACTAAATAAGTACATAAGACCCTTGTTTGTAAGTGAAACTGCATCTGCATTAGCATAAGCTGTTCCATCAGCTTAAGGAATTTTTCCTTCAAACAAGAGAAAAGCCTCAGTTGGAAGTGTAAACACATCTTGCTGTTGAATGTTGAATCTTATTTCTCCAGTTTCGTTTAAATTTGAACCACTAGTTTGGTCAAACAAATGGTATTCAAATCTTACAGTTCCTTCATCTATAATTGGTGATCATGTAAAATTTAATACGTTAGAAGTTGCCATTTTATTTTTTTATATAGAAGAATTAATTGTTTTCCTTTGTCTACTACAACATCTTTAGCAGTATTTATTGCAGATGGAGCAAGTTCTTTTCCTGCAGACTTTGCAGCAGACATTGCAATTTTCCTAATTTACTAGCAGCTGCTCTATTCATTAAAGATAATGCTTTTCCTCATAATTTTGACGCTGTTGCCTGTCTAAATAAATTCCTAACATTCTTAAAGCTATCATGTATTTCACTACCACCAAAAACATTTTTTTTACTTAAATTGCTTGTTTTGTACAGTTAACACTTTATTTACAATATATATTTTTTAAATTGTTCTTAAATTGTTCTCTATTGCTTTATACTCTTTCTCATTTATCACAAATTTGCGTAATAATTCACCACAAACTGCAACAGCTTCATTTTTAGCTCCAGTATTACTTGCTTTCTATGCAGGTATACGTAATGCAAGCATTTCAAATAGTGCATCAGTATTACTAGGTAGAATTATAGTTGTTCCTTTTGATGGTAACCCTTTTCTTTTGTTATTGGCTTGTTATATAAGCCTTGGTGTTAAAGGCTTCTTTACATCTCCCCACGGTGTTATAGTAGTTTTTTTCATCTCTCTTTAAACTGGAGCTATTATCTCTTAATATTTTTCACTCCTAGAAGATCTAGGTTTACTTGGATTTGCTTCACTAGCAATTGCATCTGTTTGTATTAATATGTCTTTATAACTTTCAAGATCATCAGCATTATATACTTCTTTATTAGGATATAACTTTGTTATCAATACCCAAAGACCAGGAGTTCCAATAATTTAAATTATTAGCTTGATCATGAAGTTTTGATAGGTTTTCTTTTATACCAGACTGACTATCTAGTTACGGTTTGTACAACTTCGTTAGGTTAGTCTGTAAACTAGATTCACCTAACTTACCATCTAAAGAATTTTGATATACTTTTTTCTTTTAATATAGTAAATCATTAACTATTTTATCTCTCTTTTCAGGGTCTGTAATTTTTAGAAACAACATTTTTATATATACAATAAAAAAAATTAAAAAAATTAAATGATTTAAAAAAAATCTTTTCTATATAAAACGTCATATGTAACGATTGAAAACTTTGATGAAATAAATTTATTTGTAAAAAAAAATATATAAAGCTGATAAACGTGTACCTTATTAAAAAAATAAACTTGGATATAATTATCCCAAAGGAGAAGGTTCTTTATTTATAAAAACATTATCATTTTTTTTTTTTGGTGTATGTGAAAATGTAGATCCAAAAAATAATAAACTTATAGGATACTCCATTGATATGTTTTGATGAAAAAGTGGGGAAGCTCTAAAGCAAGAAAAATTTATTAAGATGATTGAATCTATTGAAGAATTTTGTCGAGAAATGATTTAAGTATATAAAACAAACTTAAAACAAGGTGGAAGTAGAACGCAAATTTATACTGAAAATTTAAAAATATTAAAATTTAATACAGAAAAACCTAATGCAGCTCCTGTTATTTATGCAAAACTACTTAAAGTGGAAAAAAGAAATGTTTTAAAAAAAACTTCAAAGTTTAGTAAAAAAACTGAAAATAAAATAGTAAATACTTCAGGACATGATTATATTAAACAAAAATGCAACGTTGTTGGATGTTTAAAAATTAAAGGCATTTTTATTGGTGCGATGATAGAATCAATCCAAGTTAAATTGAGAGAAGCAATTGTTCTTAAAAAGATTTCAAATTTTAATAGTATTATGGAAGATTTAGATTTAGGAAATGAATCTGAAAATGAATCTGAAAATGAATCTGAAAATGAATCTGAAAATGAATCTGAAAATGAATCTAAAAATGAATATGAAAATGAATAAACTTTTTTTTTTATTTGTAAAAAAATATAAAAAATAAAATGATATAAATAATTATCTTGTATATATAAAGTGGCCAGTTTTCGAGAGTGAAAATTCAAATACAATATTTATTAGAGAGATTGAAACTACAACTAATTCCAGCTCAATTATTGAACTTAAAGATGATCAAAAATATGAAATGACATTAGTTAGATTAGAAACCTTTTACAGCATTCCAAATAATGATTCATTAAACCCTATATATAAATAGTATTATAAAAAAATCACGTGAATTTTTACCGAAGATTCGTCCTGGACATAAGACCGTTGAAAATCCAAAAAATTTTATTTAATTAACAGTAACAAATAAAAAAAACTTTCAAAAAATGAAGACGAGATTAGTTGATCTAAATTGAAATCAGATAGATTTACGAAGAGAAGATTTATTTGTTAAATATCATTTAAGAAAAAGAGAAATAGGCTTGTAATAAAGTTTAAAAATTAACATAACATTTTAAATTAGAACATGATATAAAAAATTATCTTAATTATATATAAAATTGACATAGACATAAATGGAACTAGTACAATATAATACTAGGTTTAATCCAGTTATTGAACTTAGAGGTGATCAAGAATATGAAATGGCTTTAACTGGCTAAGAAACCTATTACAGCTTTCCAAATATTGATACTTCAAACAACAATTTTAGATATAGTTCAAATAATGGAGTTGCTTGGAAAGATATAACTATTCCCGAAAAATGCAATGATATTTCTAAAATAAATATTTAAATACAGGATATTATGCTTAATAAAAGTAAAATGGAAAACAGTATTGTAATTGGAGCAAATAATAGTACATTAAAACCATTTATAAATATCGCAACTGATTTTAAAGTTCATTTTTTAATTGGTTACAAATTCACTTTTTTTAGGTTATAGCAGTCAAGTATACTCATCAGGTAAACATGAATAAAAAAATATAGTAAATATATTACTTAATAACACTATACGTGTACCAAATGATATTATAGCAGGATCATGTCTAAATGGATTAACTAGTATTGTTATATATTCATTTTTCCCAAATGTTCTTCCTCCTTAAATTCCTAAGGATTTATTGGTGCACTTTTACCTTTACTTGGTACAGCTGGAAGTTTTTTAATGTCTAAAGTTCATCCATCACTTGCAACAGGACTATTAACAGGAGTAGGTGCAACAGCTGGATCTACTGTCAGTGATAAAATTGCTGGAAGAGGAGTGGGTGACACTAAGCAAGTAGTTTACTTGAAAAAGCATGGACATTGTGTAAAGATTAGAGCTGCAAGAGATGGACTTTATTTGAGTCCATGGCAAAAGGAAAGTTCTGTAGGATATGGTCTCTACATACGTAGTGGAAATGGAGAAACATCAGCAGGATTAGGTCTGTTGTTAGGTCCAAATTCACCATTTGCAAGTTTCCCTATTTAAAACATGCTACTATAGATTCTATTTAGGTATAGTTAAATATATATTTTTGATAGAAATATATATTTCATGAAAATTCAAGTTGGTATATAAAAACAATTTAGTTCACTTTAATGTAAAAAGAAAACTGATACACTAAACCTGCTAAATGTTTTAAGTAAAAACAATAAAAATATGCTACGCGGAACTTGTGCTATTTGTGGAACAGCAAAAAATCAATTTGTTTCATCTAAAAAAGGTGGTGATTTAGTTAATTCAGTAACAAGCAAAATAAAACTACCACGGTCAAAGTTTTCAGGTAAAATGCATTTTCCTGGTATGAATTTTTCTGGGCCTGGTACTAATTTAGATGAAAGATTAACTTCTACTGGTGCATATAAAGACTGGAGTAAGCCTGTAGATAGTTCATAATGCAGCTTACCATCATGATCTTGCTTATAGATATTTTCCAGATACAGCAAAAAGAAATGAAGTTGATAAAATGATCTTTGAAGAAATGGATGCTATAAAAAATCCAAAATTACGTGAAAGAGTTGAAAGAGATATTATAAAACCAATTATATCGACTAAAGCAAAGTTTGGGTTAGATGTTCAGGATCCAAAAAACTTCCAACAATCAGTAAAAAAGACAAGTATGAAGAACTAAAATGGACTGATGAACTTGCAAACGAACTTCATAGACCAGTTGTTAAATACTTTAGAAAAAGAAGTTATAAATGGAAAGTTCTTGTAAATAGAATTGGTGAAATCTGGGCTGATTTAGTTGACATGCAATCCTTATCTAAATTCAAAGACGGTATAAAATACTTAATAATGGTAATTGATGTATTTTTAAAGTATGGATGGTCCCATTGAAAAGTAAAACTGGAGTTAAGGTTGCTGATGCTTAAAGTAAAATCTTTAAAGAGAGGAAATGTACTAAATTTTGGTTAGATAAAGGCTTGGAATTTTATAATAAGCATGTTAAAGCATTAGGTGTTCAGTTATATTCAACAGAAAATTAAGAAAAAAGTTGTGCGATGGAACGTTGGAATAGGACGATAAAAGAGAAAGTATTTTTCAGCTAATTCTACTAGAAAATATATTGATGTTTTAGATGAAATGGTAAATGAATACAACAACACATAACATTCTTCAATCAAAATGACTCCAGTTGAAGATAGCAATAAAAAGTATGAAAATATTGTTTGGTTGAACCTAAATGGAAATGTACGATCAGAGCCCGTTAAACCAAAGTTTTCAATTGGCGATAAAGTTGGGATAAATAAAAAGAAAAGAGAGTTTGAAAAAAGATACCCACCAAGATGGACTGAGGAGGTATTTACTATATCAATTAGGTTCACAGATCCACCAACGTATAAAATAACTGATGATAATGGTGAAAAAATACAAGATAATTTTTATGAACAAGAACTACAAAAAACTAATCAAGAGATATTTAGAATTGAAAAAGTTATTCGTAAACGTAGAAACAAGTCATTAGTAAAGTGGTATGGGTATCCTGAAACTTTTAACTCATGATTTGACAATATAAAATTGATAAACCTATAAAAATAAAAAAAAAACAACTAATTCTTTTCTAGAGTTTTTGAATTATTATCATTTATTTAATGCGGAATTGGAATAAAAGAGCGAAAAGGGTAAGCTTATAAGCAAAATATAATGGATACAACAAGATAAAAATGTCCCAGAAATCATCCATAACATAAGATTGAAAAAAAATATGCAAATATATGGAAGGATCATTGGTTAAAAATAGTTTGTCCCAGAATTGGAGAAATAATATAAAATAATAAATATATGGATA